TTTCATTATATTTTTTAATCACCAGCGCTTTATATGCCCTATCTTTAAGGTTTATCAATTACCTATTTTTTTTGTATTCTAATATTAGACTTACTATTACATTTTATTTGAGTCTGTTTCTTTGCATGTGTGGTTTTATTAGAGCAAGATTCTTGAACCTTCCTTGGTTCCTGGAAGCTTTGATGCAGGCATAAGAGTGATATCATAACAGCTGCTGTGCAGTCAAGAGCAGCAACTCCCCCTACCCTTTTGAAGCAGCAACAAATAGATATTTCTTCATATCTTGGGATTTTTGTGCACCCAAACATAGCCAAGTGCAGGCTCACAGCTCCTATGTGCTTTGGCTAGTGGAGCCCCAGTAAATAGGAATAATCTGACCCAAACTGCATTTTATTAATTAGAATGCACAAGAATTTTTGGATGAAAGTCTGTTAAATATAGCTCCCCTTTTAAGCATACAAATTGTTCTGAGCCTTGGTAGAAGTAATTTGTATTCTGTCAGCACACTTCTATAACAGGACATCCAAGATATGTTTTTACATGTTATCTGATTTAGAACAAATCTTGGTGTAAATCTCTGCTGTAAGAAGTCTTGTGTATTTTGGATATTCCCTCAGAAAGAAAGCCAGTAAATTTAATTTTTGAAGTTAGCATCAGCAGCTCTTGGTTGCAATCATGTCAGCTGCAGGAGGAATGTCAGCCTGCAAGTCCACCGTGGCTAGACTAAACAAAGGGAAAATGTGTGTTCATGGTTTCTCGTGTGAACTGTATGGGGAAAAAAAATAGTTTTAAAATGCTTAGAAGCAAATGCTGTTTTTACTTGTTCTTACTTGTACAGGCAATGGGACTGTACAACAGGGTTTAAAACTGACAGATTTTGGTCCTGTAGCAAAATAAGAACACAGCAGTCTCTGGAAGATGTCACCATAAGTGCAGTGATTCCACAGGGGAATACTTAAACAGTTATACTCTTTTTTCCTCTTTTCATCATAGCATGGCATTGAGGAAACTGCTGCAGAATGCAAAAGGCTGGGAGCCACAGTTCATACCTTTGTGGTTGACTGCAGTAAGAGGGAGGAGATTTACAGGGCTGCAGAGAAGGTAAGACTACAACGTGCATGTCTCAAGACTACCCAAGTGTGATAAAAGCTTCAGTGATAACTAGGAAATGGAAGTTGGGATTCTGTGCTCACCTCTTTCATGTCTTTCATAAAGTCTTACTCCTTCCTCCATCTTGTAGACAAGACTTTAAATAATAATACACTTAAATGGAAAAGTATTCAGTGTAATTTCTTGCTCAAGGCTTCCTGGACAGACACCTTGTTCTTTTCTTCTTTTTAAATTGTAAAATCTTTGAGTCAAGAATAATACTAATTAGCAGATGCTAATTTTTTTTGTATTTAGAATACTATGGTACCTACAAATGGATTAAACCAGTTTTGAAGTTACTTTTTTTCTTCAGTAGTTTCAGTACTGGGATTGGATTCATACTGAAGTCCCAGATGAGACTTCAGCTTTTTGAGGGGGAACTTGAATTGCATAATTCTCTTTCCAAATCCTGATTCTGCAAAAATGAAATATTATAGTAGGCAGATGTTAAAACCAACTTAATTACTACCTAGTATAACTATCAACATATTTTAGCCCTGAATGTAACTACACATTTTAAATCCTTTAATTTTCAATAGGTGAAAAAGGAGATTGGTGACATTAGCATCTTGGTGAATAATGCTGGCGTAATTACACCTGCAGATCTGCTTTCCACACAGGACCATCAGATAGAACAAACATTTGCAGTCAACATCCTTGCTCATTTCTGGGTAAGTGCAGCTAGTACAGGGATGGGCAATTATTTTGGCTGGCAGACCGTTTAATGACTATATTTTAATTTTATTTAAAAAAAAGTGTCCTGATTTATGTGTATTTGCATAATGTATAAAAAGGTGGTTGCGTAATAGCTCAAAATAAAGTCTTACTCTTGTGTAAGGGGTGTGCATCAGGATCTGGGGAATGCCTGTTCATCAGAGCACCCCAAGGGATGACAAAGTGCAACGGTCACAAACTCCTCCAAGACCGTTCTAGGCTGGACATAAGGAAAA